GATGAGATTGTGTTTGTACGAGGGGAGGAGTGCCATTTTCAGCAAAGGATATCAACAAATCTTTAACTTGCCCGAAATTTCACTGATGAGTATGTGGAGTTCAAAAGATCAACCTTGAGGATAATATATTTGCAGCATCATTGCGAAACCTGGGGCAGCATGGGAAGTGTCTAAAAAACAGAAAAAGACACTCAAAGGACACAGTGACACCAATGCTCGGCGTGTGGCGGTACTTTATCTGTGCTAAACTAATGCCGGAGACGCACTACAGCACAGTGACTCATGAGAAGGCGGTATTGCTCTACTCATTTGCCTCAGGAAAGAGTATGGATGTGGGAGACATCATTTATGAGAGGTCAGGATAGCATCCACAAAGGGCGATCAAGCTACTGTTTCCCGCACTCATCACAGCCATGTGCCTAAAAGCGGGGGTCAAGGTTCAAGATGAGAGCCGCGTATTCATTCGGCTCCAACTCTAGATGACGACTATTTCAAGAACACCTTGACCGAACGGAAGCTGCCCAACCAAGAGCAGGGGCGAAGAGGCAGAGAACGAGCATGGCCACATCATCCAGCTCCACAGGGTCACAAAAAGCGATGATGCAAGAAATGATGGGGATGATGAAATATGAAGAGACGACAAGGATTGGATGATGGAGCGGACACAGAGCATTCATGAATTGCTGACAGACAGCTTCAAGGAGCTGAAGGTTGACACTTCCGCATATCAATGGTTGACGGAACTCGATGAGTGGCCAGAATAGAGGAAGACGGAAGATGAAGTGGAAGAAGGGAAGAACAAGACTGAACCGGAGCACCTGTTTATGTTTGTTTATGCTTTCATTTAATTTTTTTTTGTTTGTCCAGTTGAAACTTAAACTCATTTTATTTTGGTTTTGGATTTTGTTTATTTGGTAGTTTGTTAGTGATGTTTTTAATTAGTGTTGTTAAAAGGGCGAGATTAGGTTGTAATACTTTCAATTTAGTGTGAATTCGTTCTAACATGAGGGACACCACAGTGTATTGTTTTGACAGATTTTGGATGATGAAAGTCCGAGAAGGCGTGAACATTGTGGAGCGACAATTCATGACTGAACCAGGAGCATGCTCGTACCTTTTTATTGTTCTTTTGTTTTTTTTTTTTTTTTCTCTATTCCTGACTTATGCATAATGGAACATTAGGGACAATGTCATATTTAGTTTGGGGGTAGGGAATAGATTTTGAGTTAAGGGTATATGGCTGGAAACCAGTAACTGCCTAAAAACTGCCTAGCAGTACTTGGCGACCTCGGGTTTAACAACGCCGCGTACACCTTAAACTGTTAAATTCTATTAAGGTATATTGGCTGGAAACCAGTAACTGCTTAAAAACTGCCTAGCAGTACTTGGCGACCTCGGGTTTAACAACGTCGCGTACACCTTAAAATTGTGTCAAAAAAAAAAAAACTTATTTTTGTGTTGCATTTTTCTTTGGTTGTTTGTTTTGTCGATGATGAGTTGTATAAATCAATGATGAGAATAAGATTGTTGATTTTATTGTTGAGAAATGTTAAGCATTGCTTCAAGTTTACGTTTATTGATGGATTTTGATTGAGGTTTGTTGAGTGGTTCAACCACGATTTTCATTTTTTTTTCGGCATGCTTAGATTCATTTTATGCGATTAGGTAAAGTCTTGATAATGTTGGTGGACTCTAGAACCTAGTTGAGAAATGCTTGAGGTGAATTCTAGGAGTAGACAGGTTGAGGAAATGATTTAGGCATTTTTCGGAACGTTTGAGCCTTTTAGCAAGCGCATGAATGAAATTATCCCTAGTCACCCTTTGAGCCATTTGAACTTTGCTTTATTTTTCTTGGAAAACAATAGAATTGTAAATTCCTTTTTGCCCTAAACACTGTATCGTACCCTTAGGAGAATTAGTCCTAGTGCAAAACAAAGAACGAAACGAGTGTACAAAGTAAGATTAGTTTGGGGTTAGGAAGAAGAATGAAGAAGAGACCAAAAAGAATGATGTGGGGGTTGAGAGAAAGATAAAAACAAAGGAGGTAGTCACCTCAATTCAATTCTATTGGTTGTGTGTTCTCAAAAAAAAAAAAAAAAAAAAAAAAAAAAAAAAAAAAAAAAAAATTTAACACAATGCAGCCTAGTTTAGGGTATACCGGCTGGAAACCAGAACCGCCTTAAAAACTGCCTAGCAGTATGGCGACCTCGGGTTTAACAACGCACGTACACCTTAAACGAGTCTCCCCTGCATTTATGGTATTCAAAAGTTTTTAAGGATACGCGTTTGAAGGCTGTGAACTAGTGGACATGTCGATTGGTGTTGAGGAAGTGTGGGTTTCGATGTGATTTGAGTTTTGCTTTAGGGACAACCGAGTCTCTTACTTTGTTTCTATCCTTTTATTGGAGCCCATGACCGAGCCTACACGTTACAGCTTTTAAAGACCTTTTGATTCTCATCTGTGTTTAGTCCTCATTAGTGGAGAGTAGTTCGATATTTAGGCTTATGGAGTCTGCCACCATTTGATAAACTTTACAATTTTTGCATAAAATAATCCGGGAAGTTGGAATGTGGATTGAAGTGGGGATCACCTACTTGGTAAACCGATTGAGGAAGACAGTCGATGTAGCTTATAACTTCTTGGAGTGTCGAACATTTCCTGATAATAATTTTTCAACAATTTGTGAGACATGTGCAATTTATAGGCAATTTATTGTGGAATTTGAGTTTTGTTGATTTTGGTTTTTCAGTTGTTTGTGTGCTTTCATGCTTTTGTTTTTGTTTGTTGTCTTTGTTTTCATTAGTTTTGTACTATATGCTCGGGGACAAGCATCTCTTTAGTTTGGGGGTAGTTGATAATCCGTAAATTATACAGTTTTTATTTGATCTTTTTATTGGATTTCAGGTACTTTCTAGTGCATTTTTACCTGAATTGGTGCTTAATTCTTTACTTTTCGTGTTTCAGGTTAAAATGGACTTTTTAAGCGAATAAAGACAAAATTGGATAGTTTTGACTCAGAAATGAGCGGATCTCAGAAGATAGGAGAGTTCCGGAGTAGGACAAAGCACGATGAAGCTTGTTTCCAAGGAAGAGAGCCGAAAATCGAAGAATCGAACGAAGAAGCAAGCACAGTGGCAGTTCTGTAAATTTCAGAACCTTTGAAGGACCTTCGCCCCAGCGAAGAAATCGTCTTCGCCGCGGCGAAGTAGGCCAGAGACGATGTGGGATTTCTTCACTCTTCGCCGCGGTGACAGTCAACTTATTCAGTTTTATAAACGCACAGTTTCGTGTTGTGCGTGTTTTTGGCTGGGTTTTTGGACTAAGTATAAAAGAAAAACTTAACCTTTTGGTCCAGGATCTTCAGCTTTTTAGGTTTAGCCGTTTTTACACTTTTCTGAGAGTAAAGCTTTTAGTTTTTCGGATTGTTGAAGGGAAGATTCAGATTTTGACTAGAAGATTCATCTTTTGGGAAGATTTCTTATCTTTCATCTCAGTTTCATTATGTTTAATGTGTTTATTTCTATTTTTCGTTTTTGTAGTGTTAATTTAGCTATGAACTAATCTTCTTTGGGTTAGGGTTTTGATTGTAGTTTGGATTTGAAATGGGTTAAGTATTTGATTGTGTTATTTCCATGTGAATAAGCTTTGGTTGTGTGTTACTCTGAAATTAAATGCTGTATGTGATGAACATGATGAGATTGAGAAATAATTCATGTTAGGCTTCTTGGGTAATCACCATTATAGTATTGGATGCTAGAGATAGATTCAAGAATTAATGAAATCAATTTAGGATTCTTGTGCTTAATGAATTTAGAATTATTAACCTTCAATTTGTTGGGTGCGGAATGTTAATAAGGATGAATAGGAAAACATAGCCCGAGAGGGTATGTTAACATATTAGTGAATCCGATTTACAACCATTGCGCATGAATGTGAAAATAGTGTAACTCTTAGGTTTAACCCATAAAAGTCCAAACGAAGTCAAAACCCTACCCGTTTTAATTGAATTGATATTCTGTGTTTCATTTCGCTGTCTTAGTTAAGATTTAATTCTTTGTTTAATTTCATTTCTTTGTTTTCTTTTTCATTACAATTTGCTCCCACCAATCCAAAGAATTCGATTACTTCAACTTGATAATGTTAGGAAACTTAGTGCTTTGCTACAGTCCTTGTGGGAACGATATCCTACCCATCACTTTATTACTTGAGCGACTAGTGCACTTGCTAGTTTTGCATGTTATAATAAACACGCATCAGTTTGCCAGTTTGGATGCAAGTCCAAACGTTCTATAATTGGTTGATAGTTAATGTGCAAATGATGGTGGGTGCAACATTTGGATGAGCATTGCAAAACAAGACACCTGAAGAAGCGTATGAGTTGCTTGAAGTCTTGGCAAGTAACAACTATCAGAGACCCAATGAGAGAATGTAGATGAAGAAGTCTATGGGTATTCATGAAGTTGATGCTTGCACAACCATTTCAACCCAACTTACAGCACTTCAAAAGCAATTAAGAGGTATGCAAGTGAATTCTATTCAAACACCTTAACTAACATGTGATTTTTGTGCAGGTAACCATGAGAGCAATGAATGTCAAGTAGGGAACACCTTTGCTTTAGCTTCATCATCATCGAAACAAGTCAATTACTTGGCAGGGAATCAAAGACAATAGAACAATCCTTTCTCCAACACGTATAATCCTGGATAGAGAAATCATCCAAACTTGTCTTGGGGCAATCAGAATCAGCAGAATAACCAATGGAATCAAAGAACAATGCCAAACAATCAAGTGTGGGTGAATAATCAACCAGGGGACCAAAGATTGTCAAAATTGAAGGATATGTTTGGGAAATTCATGCAAGAGACCACAGGTTTCATGAGTGAGACAAGGACAAATTTTAGAAACCAAAGGGTGTCCATTCGAAACTTGGAGGTATAGGTGGGGCAGTTGGAAGAAAAACTGAATGACCGACCACAGGGTTCCCTCCCAAGCAACACAATGACAAATCCATGTGAACAAGTGAATGCAATAACTCTACGAAGTGGAATAGTCTTGGAAGAGGTTGAACAAACAGGGAAAGAAGACAGCCCACCAAAAGACAAGGAAGATTCTAATGAGGAAGTCGACGAAGAGATCGTTGTTGAAGAGAAACCAACAAGTCCTAGGGAAGATGAACCAAAGAGGGAAAAGAGGCAAAGGCAAAGGCAAAAGAAAGAAAAATTGCCATTTCCTAAGATACCACCAGAGTTGGCACATCACACCCCTCTTGTGCCTTTTCCTCAGAGGCTTAAAAAGAAAAATCAGGATAAGCAGTTTACAAAATTCATTGAGATATTTAAAAAAATGTATATTAACATTCTTGCAGATGCCCTGCAGCAGATGCCGAGCTATGCAAAATTCCTCAAGGAAATTCTGTCAAACTAAAGGAAGTTGGAAAAGGAGGAAACAGTGATGCTTACAGAGGAGTGCAGTGCCATTCTATAGAAGAAGCTGCCACTGAAACTCAAGGATCTAGGGAGTTTGCCTATCCCTTGTGTTATAGGAGATATTACATTTGATAGAGTTTTATGTGATCTAGGTGCAAGCATAAATCTAATGCCTTTTTCTATTTTCAGGAGATCAGGGATTGGTGAAGTGAAACCAACGACCATAGTTGAAGATGTATTAGTTAAGGTGGACAAAGTCATCTTTCTAGCAAACTTCATCGTGTTAGATGTGGAAGAGGACAAGGAAATGCCTCTCATTTTGGGGCGACCATTTCTTGCCACCGGAAGAGCCCTAATTGATGTATAAGAAGGACAATTTCTTTTAAGGGTCCAAGATGAAATGGTGACATTCAATGTTTTTGAGGCCATGAAATTTCCATTAGAGTCAGATTCTTGCTTTAGTGTAGACTTGGTGGACAGACTAGTAGTAGATGCTATTGAAGAGAACACCCCTCAACTACCTTTAGAAGCTTGCATTACCCAATAAAAAACAATAGAGGTAGATGAGCTGGCAAAGAATGAGTGTGCTAGACCTTTGGAAGCACTTCAGCTGATAAACGCAAGCCAAGATCCAAAATTTGAAGAGTTTGACATTGAAAAAGAGAAGGAAAAGGAAAGAATGGAAGAACATCCAAAACTTGAACTGAAGCCTTTACCTTCTCACCTCAAATATGTGTATCTTGGTGAGTCAGAAACCTTTTCAGTGATCATCAATGCAAGGCTGAGTAAATTGGAGCAAGAATAGTTGATTCGAGTGTTAAGGGAGCATAAATCAACAATTGGATGGACCATATCGGACATAAGAGGCATCTCTCTATCTTTTTGTATGCACAAGATACTCATGGAAGATGATGTCAAGCCTAAGGTGCAACCACAACAGATATTGAACCCTTCTATGAAGGAAGTGGTGAGAAAGGAAGTGGTGAAACTTTTAGATGCAAGCATAATCTACCCTATTTCAAATAGTCCATGGGTGAGCCTGGTGCAAGTGGTTCCAAATAAAGGAGGTATCACGGTGATTAACAATGACAACAATGAATTGATACCAACTAGGACACTTACGGGTTGGAGGGTGTGCTTTGATCACAAGAAACTGAATGAAGTGACAAGGAAGGATCATTTTCCACTTCCTTTCATTGATCAAATGTTGGAAAGATTGGTATGGCATGCTTATTATTGTTTCTTGGATGGTTTTTAAGGTTATAATCAGATTGCCATTGCTCTTGAAGATCAAGAGAAGACGACATTCACTTGTCCTTATGGCACCTTTGCGTATAGAAGGATGTCTTTTGGGTTGTGCAACGCACCAGCCACATTCCAACGATGCATGATGTCAATTTTTGGTGACATGGTGGAGTGGTTCATAGAAGTCGTCATGGATGACTTCTCTGTTTTTGATTCTTCTTTTGATAATTGTTTGTCTAATCTCTCATTTGTTTTGCAACGATGTCAAGATACAAATTGGGTGCTCAACTGGGAGAAATGTCACTTCATGGTTTAGGAAGGAATAGTACTCGATCACCGAATTTCAAAGGACGACATCAAAGTGGTTCGAGCCAAAACGGAAGTGATTGAGAAGCTGCCACCACCTGTAAACGTTAAGGCAATCCGAAGTTTCTTGGAACATGAGGGGTTCTATAGACGGTTTATCAAGGGCTTCTCTAAAATCTCTGAACCCTTTTGCAATTTACTAATTAAGAATGTCTCTTTTGATTTTGATAATGAATGCATGCATGCTTTACAAACTCTTAAGAATTTTATTAGTATCTGCACCCATTATTGCAGTTCCCAATTGGGAACTACCTTTTGATTGATGTGTGGTGCTAGTGAATTTTCATTAGGAGTAGTTTTAGGACAAAGGAAGAACAAAGTTTTGCATGTAATTCAGTATGCTAGCAAGACACTAACTGATGCACAGTTGAATTACACTACCACTGAAAAAGAGCTGTTAGCCGTTGTTTTTGCATTTGACAAATTTCGTTCTTATTTGCTAGGTGCTAAGGTGATAGTCTACATGGATCATTTAGCACTCAAGCATCTGTTGGCAAAGTAAGAAGCAAAAGCAAGGCTGATAAGATGGATCCTACTACTGCAAGAGTTTGAATTGGAGATCCGAGACAAAAAGGGGTCAAAAAATGTATTGGCAGACCATCTATCAAGAATTGAACAACCAACCCAAGGAAGTGAAGAGGAAACTAAAATCAAGGAGACCTTCCCGAATAAGAAATTGATGAGAGTTGAGGAAGTACTTTGGTATGCAGATATTGCAAATTATTTATCATCGAGGGTGCTCTCAAGTGGCATGACTTTCTAGTAGAAGAGGAAGTTTTTCTCTGACCTGAAGTTTTATTTCTGGGAAGAACCATTTCTGTATAAACACTGTGCATATCAGATGATACGTAGGTGTGTCCTAGAAGAGTAGATGGAGAGTATTTTAGGGCATTGCCATGAGAAGGAAGTGGGTGGTCATTTTGGAGGAACTAGGACAGCGGCCAAGGTCCTTCAATCTAGATTTTATTGGCCGACTCTATTCAAGGATGCTTTCTGGGTAGTTTAGGAATGTCATCAATGTCAACGGAGTGGAGATATTTCAAGGAGAGATGAGATGCCATTGAATAACATTCTAGTTGTTGAACTGTTTGATGTGTGGGGAATTGACTTCATGGGTCCTTTCCTAAATTCTTTTGGAAATATGTACATTTTGGTGGCTGTGGACTTTGTGTTGAAATGGGTGGAAGCAGTTACATTACCATCCAATGATGCCAGGATGGTGGTTAACTTTGTGAAGAAGAACATTTTCTCAAGATTTGGAGTACCACGGGCAATAATCAGTGATGGGGGATCTCATTTCTACAATAGGCAATTTGATGCTCTCTTGGGAAAATATAGAGTGAAACATAGAATGGCTACACCATACCATCCTTAGACCAGCGGGCAAGTGGAACTGTCGAACAGAGAACTGAAAAGAATTTTAGAGAAGACGGTTAATGCGTCCAGGAAGGACTGGTCACGGAAGTTAGATGATGCATTATAGGCATACCGCACTGCATTCAAGACTGCAATTGGTATGTCTCCATTCAGGTTGGTATACAGGAAGGCATGTCACTTGCCAGTGGAACTCGAGCACAAGGCATATTGGGCAGTCAAGCAGCTAAACATGGATTTACAAGCTGCTGGAGAGGAAAGGATGCTGAAATTGAATGAACTTGACGAGTTTCATCATGAAGTGTGTGAGAATGCCCAGATTTACAAAGAAAAGACCAAGATGTGGCATGACAGGCATATCACGAAGAAAAACTTTGAAGTGGGTCAGAACGTTTTGTTGTACAATTCTAGACTTAGGCTCTTTCTTGGAAAACTTAAGTCTAAATAGTCCGGACTCTTCATTGTTGTCGAAGTCTACCCATACGGGGTTGTGGAGATTTCACATGAAGAAAAAGGGACATTTAAGGTCAATGGACAGCGGTTGAAGCCATACATTGATGGGGCGATGAGTTGCAAGTCACTACCTGTCAAACTCGACATCCCGGAATGAGGACTTGAGAAAGTCAAGCTTCCGACTATAAACAAGCGTTTCTTGGGAGGCAACACAAGTGTTTTCATTTTTATTTTTCTTGTTTAGTTGTTTTATGACTAGGAAATAATTTAATTTAGTTTGTTTTTGGTGTTTCAGGTTAATGATCAAAATGGGGCGAAAATCGGAATTCTCTAGATTTCGCTGCGGCGTTGTTTTCACTGGAACTTTTCACTATGGCGAGAAATTTTCTTCACCGTAGCATCTACGGTATTGAGCGAATTGAATTGAGAAATTCGCCGCGGCATCGGCTGGGTTGCGTAATTGGATTAAGAATGCCGCGGCGAAGTCTATTTTCTATAAATAGTCGCATGATTTTTCATTTTTTGCGAAAATTTTCAAAGAACACCCAAGAGCCAAACACTTCCATCTTCAATTCAGAGATTTTCTAATGAATTTTCTTCCCTCTACTCCACTCCTTAACCCTCATAAACACTAATTCATCTAATATCTTCTAAGATTTATGCAAAATATTGAAGAAAGGTTTGGAAACCCTAGGTTTTCCAAAATTAGGGATCTTGCAATTTGTGCCGAAATTGGTGAGATTGGTGGTGCATTCATCAAGGGAGTGGTAAGATTTCAAGTTCTCTAGCCTTAAATTTGATCAATTTCGACTGTTAGTGCTTTAAATTTGAGAATTTGATTGAATTTGTTGAGTTGTGGATGTTGATGCAATTTGTGGATTGATTTTGGCTTGAGAAGTGTTGAGTTTGATTTGTTTATTGTTGAGGAAGTTAGGTTTTTGATTTTGGAGTGGTTTGATTGAGTTTGGAAGAGTGGGGATTTGGGGGTGTAGGTGCAATTTTTGAAACCTTGGTGTGAATTTAGGAGTGATCGTGGTTTGTAGAAAGGGTAGTTTAGCGTTGAATTCTCGAGTTGAATTTTTAGTTTGGGGGTAGATTTGAGTGATCACTATTGAAAACCAAAATGCCGATCAAAACGGCTCCCAAGGGTAAAGGAAAATAGGTCGACAATAGGTTTGTAAATGAAAAGGCTAGGCAGCAGTATGAAGGTGTTATTAAACGAAAAGATAAAGGGTTTATTTTCGAGAGAGGATTGACCACAATCCATAGAAAAGATTGGAATCGAGGGAGAAATTGGGATATCTTTATGCGTGAACCAGAGCATTTAGCCATAGAGCCAATAGTGAGAGAATTTTATGCTAACTTCCCTGAGTGTGATCTTGGGCATGTTTATGTGAGAGGTATCAATGTGCCAATCAATGCGAAGATTATCAATGATTTCTACAAACTTGATCCAATTGACCATGACAAGTACCAGGAATTTAAGAAGAAGTAGATTAAGGAGGAGGAGATTCTTAAGGTCATAGCAAAGCCGGGTACCTCTTGGGATATTTCGAAAAAGGGGAGAAGAAGCATTAAAGGAACGAATTTGATTCCTATGGCTAGATTGTGGCAGTATTTTGTTTGCGCGAGGATGGTCCTGAAGACGCATTATAGTATAGTGGTTTTTGAGAGAGCAGTGTTATTCCATTGCCACCTGAAAGAAAATGGATGTGGGGAATATAATCATGGAGAGTATATGGCATCAGCCAAACCAGGGCGAGGGAGCTTCGCCTTCCCACATCTCATCACTGAGCTGTGCACTCGAGCAGAAGTTAAGAAGGCAGATGATGAACCACTTATTCATCTTGCCCCACCCCTCGACACCAATTATTATCACAAGCTACTCAAGCGTCCTCCCAGTGAAGGACCCAGCTCTGGATCGAAAAG